AGTTTATATAGTTTATATAGTTATACAGTTTATATAGTTATACAGTTTATATAGTTATACAGTTTATATAGTTATACAGTTTATATAGTTTATATAGTTATACAGTTTATATAGTTATACAGTTTCCTTTATAAACAACATACTGAGGTTAAAATTTTATAAACGTTTTTATATTATAGGTGTATTTTTATTGAGTAGTAAAGCTGGTGGAGTAGGCTTGAATCTGATTGGTGCATCTCGTCTCGTACTTTACGATATAGATTGGAATCCAGCCAATGATCTTCAGGTATAAATGGCCTTTAGTGTATACAAGAGTTTTGATTGGTTAGCATGGTTTTCTCCTGTTTTATACCCTCTACTGTGGCTATCTGTCCTGTTACTGATAAATTTGTTGTAAATTACACTTTTATAAGCCAGTGGGGGTGCCAGCCTCCTGATACTGGGGGTACAAATACGGTGGGGGGGACAACTGTCGAAGCTGTATTCAGAATGCGGCAACTCTGAAGGCGTCATAGTCCTAAATCGCAGAGGGTCCTCCACAGAAAAGTTTCAAAAAAATATAATTGATTTGGTGCCTCTTGACACATACTTAAGGGCAAAAACTTATAAAAATAATAATTCTCTAGGGGCCCTCGTTACACTCCCAAGGCACCACTTCTAGTGAGAGCCAGATTGTCAGATTTATTCTAAATATATAAATTAACTAGGAAACTTTGTAATGTTTTGTTGTAGGCGATGGCTCGAGTATGGAGAGATGGACAGAAAAAAAAAGTTCACATTTACAGATTGTTAACTACAGTGAGTAGATTAATCTGTTGTTGTCTGACTTTTCTAAGCTTAACAAGAGTTATTCCCCTTCTGTAATCAGGAGTTATTTTCCAAAAATCAAATATATAATTTTTAAATCTTGAACCTGATGAAGAAGCATGTTGATTGGTTGGTTGGTTGGTTTGCAAATCACATATAATCATGAATTATGATTTCTTATCCTGGTCCCTTGTACAAGGTTAACCTGCTAAAGTAAAACAAGGTAGAAAAAAGTTTAGTTTGGATTATGTTAAAGACTAAGAGCAAGGGGTAAACAAAATTTCTAGGCAAATCCTGGTGGACGACTTTTTAATCTTTGCTCTTTTCGTTATTTTTTGTAGGGGACAATAGAAGAGAAAGTATATCAGAGACAGATCAGTAAACAGGGACTGAGTGGGGCTGTTATCGATCTCAGAAATAAATCAGATGTTCAGTTTTCTAGAGAAGATTTAAAGGTAGGAAAAACTAATTCTCAAAATGTTAAAGGGTTTGTAAAGAGGTTTTCTAATAATTTATGTGTATCGATTTGTAACATTCTATTTTTCAATCAGATGTCTGTGGTTCCTGAAATTTCACTAAATCTAAGCGTTTCATGACATCACTAATGGAAAGGGTCTGATGTGATTAATCATAGTTTGTGATTAGTGACATCATCAAACACTTAGTTTTATAGCGTAATAGCAGGAACCACAGATGTCTGAAAGTTGGATTCCTATGTTAAGATCTTCGACTTTTAAGAATTGTTGATGAAAATTATTTTAGTTATTGTCCTTGACTTAGTATCACCAGTTGAAATCATGTCCCCCAACCCCCTTTCTTTCAATTTTTTTTTCATTATATACTAAAAAAGAATGGCCTGTGGACCCCCCTTGAAATTTCTGTTGCCCTAAACCAGTCTTTTACCAGAAACATGCCACAGAGTGTTACAGAACAGTTTTAGCCTTTGAGAAATGGAATAAGTTTATGTTTTTTTTTATGCTATCTCAAATAAGAAAAAGAATTAGGTTTAAGTTAATTTATTGTTTAAATATTTTGTTGTTTTCAGGATCTGTTTTCACTGAATGAATCAACTCTCTGTGATACCCATACTCTGTTAAACTGTTCTTGTGCTGGAAATGGTGAAGACATTAAATCACCATCAATATGTAAAACTCTAGTATCCAGATCTTGTCAACTAGGACAACCTCAACTATCTGTTAAGGTAGGGGTAGTTTATACCAAATTTTAATCTAATTTTTATGAAATGGGGGGGGGGGGGGGGGGGGGGGGG